TTGATGTATACCAATTTCTAAAGTATAACTTCTATGTTAGTTAGTTATACTAACTATAAATAAAAAATTTGATGTATACCAACTTCTAAAGTATAACTTCTATGTTAGTTAGTTATACTAACTATAAATAGAGTTTATTTATTGCAATAACAAAATACCTAAGAAATAGTTTAAATGATCCTGGCTTGCAGTTTGAGAGTATAGTCTGTTATTGCAACAGTAGCATGAGGCAGCTGGTCACATTCCATCCTTAGTTAGTAATCAGAAAGAATTGAATGAAGGTATTCAGCTCACTTTCTACTTTTTACTTATTCAAGAATCCCAGTTTTTGGAATGGTGCCACACATATTTGAGGTGGGTCTTTCCAACTTAATTAATCTAATCTAGAAACTCACTCACAGATATGCCTAGAAGTTTATTTCCATGATAATTCTAAATTCTGTGTAGCTGACAAAATTAACTATTGTACTTTCCTTCCCCATAGTGTCAGCATGTTACAAAAAACTGCACTGCTCAAGATATGAATGGGGTTATAGTTGCAGAACCCAGTGGTGTAATGTTGTGAGGAATATTTCTGGGGAGACATGAACAAATGTCTACTCACTCCATTTAGAGAACAAACAGCAAACCAATATAAGGATGCCACTAAACCCAAATTAGTGAGCCAGTGAGATTACTAACAGGAGAATTTTTAGATTTATTGAGATTACTAATGGGAGAATAGTTGAGGGGTTACAGAGCAAATGTGATTTAAAAACAGCTCCATCACTACAATCCACTCCAGCATGGGTGGCAACCTGAGGAAAGCTGACATGCTGATTAATAGGTAGGAAAATTCTTGTTTCAAGCAAGTCAGTTTGGGGAGCTAAGAACCTAGCCCCAGTGTATCTGGTCAGTTTCAGGGACTTCCTGAAGCCTTTGACTCATTTACTTACCAAGCCTAATGAGCTTCCTGGTAGGATGTACTGTTCCGCTTCCCCTGGTGTAAGTGCCGCACTTCCTTACTGAGCCAAGGTCACCTGATATGGCTTGTCAAGGCATAAAATCAGACTTGGGTTTGGAGGGGCCAGAGCAAGACTGAGGCACAGACAATTTTATTGAGAAAAGTTTGACTTTTATACCCTTATCAGAAAGAGGATATAGTAGCAATTGCCAGGATCAATACAGTTGTTGCCAAGATACAATGACATTTCCAAGCTGTACAGGGTACACAAGATTGATGTCTAATACCAATTGTCCTCTTAAGCTTTCATGCTTTCTTGACTTCTAAGGGAAAATACAAACACAAAATGGCCTGAAGGCTTTACTGCCTGAGGGAGTGCATTAGTTTCTCAGGAACTGAAAGGCACACAGTGCCCCAGGAGTCACTGACTCTAACCCCAAAAGCCTGTGATGCATGCCTCTCAAAGCAGCTAGACCAGGCCAACTCCATGGTCCCTGCACCCAAGCTTTCCTCCAATGGAGGAAGGTGCTACACAACATGGTAGCATGCCAGCCTTTTCCTTACCTGTCATATTCCTGATATCCGATATGGAGATTGTTCCCACCCTTTGGGACTTGACTTGCATATGTTTTGAATAGTTCCACTCCTCTCTGATGTTTCTTCTCCCCTATCAGTTGATCACTGCTGTCTCTTTGTGGGTCCTCTGTTATCTCTCCTACACATTGGTACTCACATGACTCTCTTAGACTCCTGTGGCTTTGTAGCTATAGTTATGTGATGGCTTATCTCATTTAATCTTGTACTTTTGAATACTATGCATTTCCCAATAAATCAATGTCTAGCTTTATCCAGACCTCCCCTGATGACCTCCAATCTGTTCCCTTGATTTTTCTATGCAGTGCTCATTACCCTTGACTTATTTTATTGTTTTTTCTTTGGAACTCATGCTATCTGACATGGAATAAATAGAGTTTATTTATTTACTTTATGTTCTGTAACCCTCGTCTAGAATGTGAGTTTGATGAAAGCATGAAGTTGGTTTGCATTCATTACTGCAGAGCTAGCTCCTTACCAAGCAGTCCCTGGCAGCAGGTGTTAGGTGAACATTTATGAACTAAGTGGATGGCTTCCACATGGCTGCAGGTGCTGTGTGATTAAGATTGATTTGACATTGTGGAGAACGGAAGATGTTCTAGTTTCATGGCTGTTGCTGTGTTAAATATCCTGACAAAACTCAACTTCAGTCAGAAGGGGTTTATTTTCCACTCATAATTCCAGGTTACTGTCCACCATAAGAGCGATGTCAAGGTGACAGGAAGTTAGAACAACTAG